ATTTAAATTCATTTACTATATGCTATATGGATTTCACATTGCAGTAATTATTTTTCTAATCAGTATGTTGTTCTGCCAAAAGTCAGATGTTTTGCTGGAGCCCATGACAACAGTGTCGCCTTTATCAAATGGATTTGTAATTTAATTAAAACTGATATCAAAGAAATAAATGAACTGTTTATTATAAAACCATGTTGAACGGCATTCATTAGAATGAAGGGATTATAGCTTACATGGATTGTTATCAGTCTCCTCATGATTTGTTGAGAACCGATAAAAGGCTAAACAATTTAAAGCTACCTAGCACACCCTGTTCATTTACAAAAATATGGAGGCAGAACATCAGCTTTTATTGTGCCCCATGGATTGTCTGTAACATCCTCAGGGCTGCTGAATTCGAGTGGTCTGGGCAGCTCTTCAGTCAATGCCCTCCTGGCTGCCTCACAAAATTGCAGTGCTTAACACCAGCAGTGGCCACGTGCCGACAGTGCTGCTCACACTCTCAGTGCCACATGCCCAGACACTTGCATTTCCCTCTGGGTACTGATATTTGAATTTTTGCTGACTTGGTGAAGGAACAACACAACGCTTCTGTTTTTATCTGGGAAACAAAACGCAACGTATTTCAAAATTTTCCTATGTAACTAAACTACCAAGATTCCAGTCAATAAATATTTTCCTTCTCTTCTTGAAGAGCAGTGAGGTAGTTTGGGGGAGAAAAAAAAAAGAAAAGAAAAGCACAGGAAACACCACAGGAGAGAGAAAATAGCACAGAGGAGATGGGAAGGTAACAAACAGTAGCTGCGCAGCCGCCCCTGGGAATCTGCCCAATTGAGTTGGCACGGTTATTGACCTCTCACTCAGGGCTGAAGCACATGGCAAGGCAGTGTTTCCTCTGGGAAACAGAAGATTTTGCTGTGCTGCCAGCCTGAAACCTTTCTGATCGCTCTCTTAGCCCACTACAGTGGCTGAATACAGATCCATATTTCACCCCTGTGGAGGAGTGTGACACTTCTTGCCTAAAAGCTTTCCAAGAATGGCGATGTGCACATACACACTCCTCTGACGAAAAAAAAAAAACCCAAAACAAAACAACAACACAGAAAATAAAAATAGAACCACCACACTGAAGAGCAAAGGCAGTAAACATGTCTCTTCTGGTTTTAGGATTATGGATCTCAGCCAAGAGAACTGAAGTTCCTGTTAGCACAGATGAGATACGCATTTTACAGCACAAGCAGGACGTAAAGTGCGGGGATGCAAAATAAGTCATGGAGTTCTCCATCTAAGGTCCAGGAGACCGAAAATCCAACGAGGAACAAGGAAATAAAATAGCCTGAGAACAAATTGCTATATTGTATCTTTTTAAGGACATTTATTGGTGACCGTCTCTCCTCATTGAGAGACTTGTAATGTCTGAAAACAATAACACCATTTTAGAAGAAGGTTCCCAGATATTTGAAATAACATATTTAAAGATAATGCTCCAAATCTCAAGTCTAAAACTGAAGCATTACAAAGTAGCCATCACTACAATCCTTGCATGTATCTTTTCTGAAATTCTTGTCAAAGTAACACACATACACAGAGAGAGCCAAGAGAAGATTTTGGTTTGAAAACAGAGCCCATTTTGCCAGAAGAATGTGAATAGTCTAAGATTCTCCAAAGCAGAAACCAGCAATACACGCAGCACAGGTATCACATACTTTCATCTGATTGCCATCTTGAAAAAGACAGGGCTGCACAGCTTTGATTATTACTGATCATCGCCACCTCTTCCAACATCCAAGAACAGAAACAAGTTCCCCATGTTTCCAGAGTTTTGAATCACTTCCACAATAATACAACAGCCAGTTCCAGCTCTTACCACATCATGGCTGCTATGGTCACACGAGAAAAAGAGAGCCTTCTTCACATTCTCACAATTGCAGTCTCATACCTCAAAATTTCACTTTGTAGCTGATGCTGTGGCTTAACCCGGCAGCACCACGCAGCCGTTCAGTCACTTCCCTGCCACCCAATGAGATTGGGAAGGGAGTTAGGAAAAAAGTCAAACTTGTGGGTTGAGATAAAGACAGTTAAATGGGAGATAAAAGGTAAAACAAATAATAATAACAGTCATAAAACAATAGATTATAGAATCGTGTAATTGCTCAGGTTGGAAAAGATCTTAAAGATCAAGTCCAACTGCACCCTAACCATACTACCCCAACAACCCTTTGCTAAATCATGCCCGAGCACCATATACAAATGGTTTTTAAACACATCCAAGGATGGTGACTCAACCACCTCCCCGGGAAACCTATTCCAGTGCTTAACCACACTTTCTGTAAAGTTCTTCCTGATATCCTCCCCTTGCACAACCTGAGGCCATTTCCCCTCAAGCAATAAGGTCTCCCCTCAGCCTCCTTTTCCCCAGACTAAACAGCCCCAGTTCCTTCAGTCACTCCTCATAGGGCATATTCTCCAAGTCCTTCACACGCCTCATTGCCCTTGATTGCGCCTGTTCCAGCACCTCAATGTCCTTTCTGTATTGAAATGCACGATGCAATTACTCACCACCAGTTTACTAATGTCCAGCCAATCATTTAGCAGTGGCAGCACTCACCAGCCAATTCCCCCTGTTTCATTGCCCAGCATGGCACCATATGGTACAGGGCACCCCTTTGGACATTCGGGTTCAGCTGTCCTGGTTCTGCCCCCTCCCAGCTCCTTAGGTACCACCAGCACCTCACTGGCAGGGCAGCATAGAATCATAGAATCACCAAGGTTGGAAAAGACCTAAAAGATCATCCAGTCCAACCGTTCACCTATTCCCAGTAGCTCCCACTAAACCATGTCCCTCAACACAACATCCAGCCTTTCCTTGAACACCCCCAGGGTCGGTGACTCCACCACCTCCCTGGGCAGTCCATTCCACTGCCTGACCACCCTTTCTGAAAAGTAATACTTCCTAATGTCCAGCCTGAATCTCCCCTGCCGTAGCTTGAAGCCATTCCCTCTGGTCCTATCACTAATGACACGAGAGAAGAGGCCGACCCCCAGCTCACTACAACCTCCCTTCAGGAAGTTATAGAGAGCAATGAGGTCTCCCCTGAGCCTCCTCTTCTCCAGGCTGAACATTGAACAGGCTGAACATGAGAAAATGAGAAGTCCTTGGCTCTGTGTAAGCACTGCTCAGCAACAACTAGAACATTGGTGTGTTATCAACATTATTCTCATTTTAAATCTAAGACACAGCACCCTACCAGTCACTATGAAGAATATTAGCTATATCCCAGACAAAACCATGACAGCGGGTCATGCACATCACAGGACGTGGACCACTGTCTACATGCCACACTCCATCAAAACATCAGTACCACAAGGAGTCAAAAGACAAGAAAATCTACAATAAAGCTCAGCTCAGACAGATGGGACTCCAGTTAGTTATTGCAGCTTGTAGGTGACTTCATCTGCAAATGAAAAAGATGCTGAAAGAACTACTGAAGGTCATTCAAAGTACCATTATGAGTATAAAAATAGTCTAACTTGTACCAGCTCATTCCCCAATATTGTTCTCCTACCTTTTACATCTGACAAATGTGTTTCTTTGCCTTTAATCCTAGCACCCAAACACTGGTCTAAATTAACTTCTAGCTACATACACACCAGATCAGAATCTGCAATTATCAACATCACTGCTAACTTTGAGTAGTGTGGATGCATTGCTGAATGAATGTCCTCTTTGCTTCTTCTGAGCTAGCTAGAAATATTTGAAATATACTTTTTCCTCTCTTCATTGCCCATATTACTTAAAAATAAACACTATATTTAAAAAAAAAAAAAAAAAACAGCACATACTATCAAATATGTTTGAAAAACTATTTTTCACTTAGTCTTTCTGAGAAATACTTCTATGGATATTGGTTAATAATGAATAGTTAGTATCACATCATTGTAAGAACTACTTTCAAATTACTGAGCATAGAGAGAGAAGAAAAATTCAGATCTCACCCTTCCTGCCTGCAGAGGTTATTTGTTGCTATTCTCTCATATGTAAGACTTCAAAAACAACCCACACTTTCACCTATATTTACTGAATACTTCAATAAAACTTTAAGTGGTTTGTTCATTGTGCCAAACCAAAGGGGCTACTTTCTCCAAAATATTCAGTTGAGTTTCCCCAGTTGTACTGACACTATTGTATTAAAATCTTTGCAAAGTAATAGAAGTAGGAGGAAAGTATTATAATTTATTTATCTGTAAGGTCATTCATTACCTGCAGACAGATCTGTGGCTTGGAGCAGAACACAATTTTTCTTTTCACTCACAAGTGAGATATCAGATCCAGTTCCCTGCTCCCTTCTCACAAACCCAGCAGATGTCAAGGGTGCAGCCAGACCAAAAGGCTCTGCAGAAGTGCAACCAGTGAAATATTGCTGGAGGAGGAAGGGATCAGGAAGGATGCATAAGCAACCAAAATCCAGTCTTCCTCCCAAAGCCACAACCTCAGAGCAGCATTTTTACCATGATCCACATCCAATTTCATGTAAAACTGAGTGAGAATGAATTAACTCCTTTGTGTGGCAAAAGTATAATAGAGGAAGAAATGTTGCATCTGTTCATACTCTATTTGCATATTTCTATATTTACTATTGCAGTTCATTGTGTTTTGTAAGCCAGCCTCCATATGATGAATTTTTATCGCATTTAAGTCTTCATGATAAATACAGCACCTAGCAGATCTAGTCATTAAAGCCTGTATTCATTACTAAAGGAAGTTATATTCCAAAATTGTTCTGTGGTAGACAACTCCTCCAGATCCAGGTTCTTCCTTGTTAAGACACAATTAGTATGATAAATATGGTTACAGGAAATAACGGCAATGCTTGTTCACCATAAAATGGGGGGGGGGGGGAAGATAATTATTACAAGGAAAGGTTTAATAATTAACAATAATGCCCCAGTCACCTGCAAATAAAGCAGAACTCTAACCAAGTGTTCATTATCAGCAGCAGTTCGAAGCCAACATGGCCTTAACCTCAAAACGGATGTCTGTGATAATATGGTAGGCAGAAGGATGAAACTGTATTGTTTCTCTTTTACAGGAGCACTGCCATAAGACGCTTGGGTCAGAGACAGTGATCACCATGGATAAAGCAGCTGCAGCCTCAGGAGCCTGTAAGTACAACCACAATGCCCCCCCAGTTCTTACACTGCGCTCAGGCTAGCACTTCCCTGCCCACAGAATAACCTACAGGCACTTGAGGCTCTGATTTTTTAATATACATTGAATTAAGGAAGGCTGTTTTGAGATATATGGCCACTGCTAGGTCAAATGAGAAGCCATTCACTTTTACTTCAATTTAACTGCAATTACTGAATTATATAACCTCACTTAATTGTACCGTTCACCTATTTACTATTCCCATCATTCTGTCTCAAGCCATCTAAACCATTTCTTCTAAGAAAACACCTCCTGCTGACTGAAACCACCTTCCAGTAATTAAGCTCAGTATCCTCTTTTCTCCCAGGAGTATGGAAGACTGTGTCAGTGTCACAGATATCAAAGCAACAGGGCTCAGCAGCACCTCAAGAGGGTCATCTAATTCACCTCTTTGTCCCAAAGGCAGGATCAATTTCTTCTAAATTGTTCTTGACAGAAGTTCATTTAATCCATTCTGAAATCCTCCAGCCACTCCTCAGCTTCCCTCAGAAATCCAGTCTGCGATCAGCCTCCTTTACCATTAGAAAACTTCTGCAAATGCTTGGCCTACATCTCCCTGACTGCAATTTAGCCTATCACTTCTTGCACCGCTCTGTTGAAGGTAAAGCAGCATCATTTTACTTAATTTACCGTCAACTAACACAAACCTGCAATCACCAATTCAGTTAGTGAGAAAAGACAAGACACAAACCATAATGCAAATACTTAGAGACCTGTCCTACCTGTTCATTTTCTCAAATACCCTAATTTTAGCTGTGTTTAATCTCACTACGAAATTTCTCCATCAAAGCAATAGGAATCACAGGGGGCAGTCACATTGTAAATTACCATTTCTTTCTATTGTTCTACAATTAATGGCTTCCTGTCACACTGTTCCTTAGCTTCCCTTTCCCAGTATGGGCTGCGCGTGAGCTGCAGCCTCTCAGGGTGTTCCTGTACCATCATAATCACGCCTGTTCTCCTAAACGTCCCCTTGTTCTAGGGGTCATTCTACAGAGGGCTGCTGCCCACATGTGGACACAACATTCCCCATGAGGCCCTTGCAGTGCTGAGCTGCGTGAAAACAGCATCTTCACATTTCAAATTTTATAATCGTGGGCAACTACAGGAGAAACCGCTGACAAGAATGCAATGCAGTGTATGGTTAGCTTTCCTTACCCTGTAGACATAGGCATTTAATGCTTTCTTCACCTCTTCTTCAACATCGATGACAGGTTCTGGGATCTCCAGAGCACTGAGCTGGAGGACCATGACTACAGCATTGACAAAATCCTAGCCAACCCCAAACTTATGCAGGATTTGCTGCTCCAAGTGGATGCATATAAGTTTATGGGGTCTGATGATATTCATCCAGAGTACTCAAAGAGCTGACCGATACCCCTATGAGACATATCTCACTTACTTTTTTAATGGCTTTAGAAATTTAGAGAGGTACCAGTCAAATGAAAGCTAGTGAACATTGGTCAAATTTTCAAGACAGACAAGAAAAGTAATTACAGGTTTGTCAGTCTCACTACAATGCCTGGTAAAAATATGGTGATTATTCTGGGAGTAATTGAAAAAAACCCAAAAGAAAATAGTCAGTGGTCACAACCAGCGTGGGTTCATGAGGTGAAAGTACTGTTTAGCAAATTTAATTTCCTTTTATGACAAGGTTACACGTCTAGCTGACCAAGGGAAGTCAGTTGATGCATTCTTAATTGATTTCAGCAATGTTTTTGATACTGTTTTTTGTGGTATCCTTCTAGAAAAAAAAAAAAAAAAAAAAAAAAAAAAAAGTCCAGCATATCATTATATAAAAACATAATATAATGGGTAAACAATTATCTGATGATTTAGGCTCAAAAAACTAGAGTAAATATGGCTACATCAGGCTGGCAGCCAGTCACTAGTGGAGTTCTGCATGGCTCCATTTTAGGGCCAGTTCTCTTTAATGTTTTCATCAATTACTTGGATGCAGACATACTAAGCAAGTTTGCAGATGAAACTACACTGGGAGGAGCTGTTGACTGCCTTGAGGGTAGGGGTGCATTGCAGAAACATCTTGACAGACCAGAGAGCTGAACCATATGAAATTTAACATGAGCAGATGCCAAATTCAGCACCTGGGATGGGGCAACCCTGGATACACCTACAAAATGGAGGACAAGAGGCAGGAGCACAGCCCCATCAAAAAGAATCAGGGGTTCTGAGTAATGGCAAGCTGGATCTGAGCCAGCAGTGTGCTCTGGCAGCCAACAGAAAGTTAGTGAAAGGGACTGCACCAGAGGATGGTGGGCATGGGACAGGCTTCCCAGGGCTGTGGGCAGGGCCCCAAGTGCCAGAGTTGAGAGTCTGGACAAAGCTCTCAGACACTGGGTTTGATTTTGGGAGGTGCTGTGTGAAGCCAGGAGTTGGACACCATGATCCTTGTGGGTCTCTTTCAACCCAGGTTATTCTATGTTTCTATGAATCTTCAGCCTGCAGGCCCTCACTTTCATGCTCACCAGTAAGCCATTCATTCACGTTTAGCATTGAACGTGGAGGTTGTGGCAGGGGGGTTGGAGACTCATGATCCTTGAGGTGCCTTCCAACCCTGGCCATTCTGTGATTATGCAGCAAGTGATTAATACCTGTTGACAGGTCACTACCTCCACCCATATTATTTTTGGTCTATTAGTCCTTCTTTCCATGTCTTTATAGTGCTGCTCCTTCAGAAAAAAGCACTGTACGGTACTGGTTGTGAGTTGCACATATAGGGTGTGCCTTTAGTGCAGGTATCTCCAGAGACAGCTACGTACACTCATTTCCAACCCCACCAGAGTTTTGGGCTGATCTGCTGCTCTGAACTGTTCTTACCAGTTCTGTTACTTATCAAGTAATACTTTCTTCCATATTTCAGCTTCACTACTCCCACACTGGGAAGTACTTACACATGCACTTAAGTACTTTCCTTTGCTTAATCAAAGTCTGTATACCTGTATGCAAACACACTAATTGCAGGCAAAATTGTTCTTATGTAAGCCACTAAACAATGTTTTTCATGGAGTTGAAAATGCACAACAAAGACCTTTGTGGCCATTAAACATTTTAGGGGAAAGCTTTTAACTTTAGGTGAGGAAACGTGTCAGGGGAATTTGAGTAGGTTATCATCAGTATCATCAGATGAGAAGAATAATTTATTTCTGACACTTGTCTTTTACAGCATGTCATTAGAACGATCCCTTTATAGCACCATTCATATACATGACATCTTAAGTCATACCCATCCATCTTCCTCAGCAGACAAAAGACTATCATCCTTCTAAAATTTCATTTTTCCATTTGAAAGACTATGTCAGAAACCATTTCACAAGTATTAACAAGTCCAGACTAGCAATTTCCTGGAATCTTCAAGTACTTTCTAAGGCCACATTTTCCTCCTTCCCTTCAGTCCCCAACCTACTCACCACCTTCCAGTCATGTAAAAAAGTAAACAAATGCAAGAATGCAACATTTAGTGAATGAAGTGCACCAACCCTATGACTGATAAGCTCATGATTTTGTCACAAAGAAGCTTATTTCAAAAGCCTCACAGAGAAGTTACTTTCGTATTGTGGATGATTAGTAGCCCATATAATAACAGCTCTTTCTCTGAGAAGATTGGAACAAGTTAACAACAAACCAGGTGTGCGCTGGCGACAAGCCTGGCAGGGTATCTGAATCTGGTGCTACATTAAAGACTTGTTATAGTTTTTAAGATGAGAACCTGAGTTCTCTTCAGTCCTTTCTGCACATCATGCTTTCCTGAATTCTATCAGTCAGGGCAACACAGGGTACTAACATTCAGACTGACACCTTTACAACCTGGGACCATTCTTCCTGCAGGTGACCAAGTTGCTTCAAATATATGTTTTTTAATATTTTTGTAAGATTGCTCAGTAAACTGATGCTGTTTCCCTCCTGGGAAAGAACAAGTTTTCCCATTATTGAGTTCTTAACACACCCTCACTGTTCCATCATCTTCACACATATCATACATCCATCTTTTTCAAGGACCATGACAGTGAAAATTATCAGTCCATATACTGCATTCAGTTAGTTAGCAGCTGACCAAACATCAGCTGAAATTAATGGTGTGGTATGAAATCAGACATCCAGGATGTGACCCCCTCATACAAACATTACTGCATATGGTAACTTCATTTGATCTATGAAAACCTCCATGTACTTCCTTGCCAACTGTTTCTTTACATATGATAAAGCTCAGTATTCCTATGTAACACTAATTGTTTGGACTGCTGGCACTGGATGTCAGCATGCTGTTACTGAAGGAACACACTATTATGGTAGCACATTTTATCACTAAAATTAAATATCAACAGAAGTCAAAAGAGTAACAGAATCCACTCAAAACTTTGAAAGATAATTAGCACAACATGGTTGGAGTTTTAATGCAGAAATCACCTCCTTGATGGTGGATAAAAACATTAATTTTTTTCTATTCCACTGCAATATTAAAGAACCAAAGTTTATCCCTCATGCAGGAGAACACATTTCTTTATAGTCTAGTAGATATCATCTAGTCAAGAGATACAGAAGACCTGTATCTTCAGTAAAAACAGTCAGATTGGTAGCTTGTTAGATGATGGATAATGAAATTTGCATTTGTTTCTCACTATCTCCAGTTACAGCAGGAAAGTGACAGTATAACCTACAACCCTCTGTCTGAGCAAATAATACAGAAAATACATGCAGAAGTCACTGCAATATTTCTAATGAATCTAAACTTGCATCTTCCCAGCATCAATGGAAATCCTGTTCCTGAGCCATGGAGTATGCATACAGAAGTCAGATATTCCTCATGGGCTACGACACATATTTCTAAAATCCATGATGAAGTGGTTAGTCAGATCTTAACCATTTGAAACTAAGAAAATCTCTTTGGAGTTTACGGTATGAAAAGAGGTTTTCTCTCTGCATGAGAGAGAGCAATTTTTAATGGCTGCACATAACAAACTGAGTATGTAGATATATCAGCCCAACATTTTTTAATGAGATTTATAAATGACTTACTGCAGCTCTAAGTCTGGTTGATTTGGCCTGTGGTTTCTGAACTTATGGTAGAGTACAACGTCTTCTTGGCAACAAAGCCTGGTAAAAGCATGAAGTGCCATTTTTAACACTCCTATTTCTAAACAGAGTAAAACATTTGTACTACATCCTTAATTGTTTAGAGTCTCTCAAGGCAGCAGGATCCACAACCTTTGCATGATGATTCCCCTCTCCCTCTCCCTTGAGATGACTGATAGTTTTGTCAAAACAGTGCTTAGAGTATACCAGTACATCCTCAAAAAAAAAAAGTAGTGATAAGTGTTGCACAGATGGGAAATTCCATTTTTCGTGCTGGATACATCTATGGGCAAAAGACCTATAATGAAAGTAACAAAGAGGATTCTGGATACCTGAAAGTTATTCAACACACGTAATTATGTATTTTTATCAGAAAGCACAATTAAAGACTGAAAGTTCATCCAAAGCCAGCTGAAGCTTACAGAGACCTATTCCAACATCTAAAAAAATTAGATCAGGATCTTAAATTTCCATAGGCATAAAACAGTGTACTTAGAGCACTACTACACTAATAGTGTACTAGTATAGCATAGTCCTGCTATGGAGAAAAAAGAAAAGAAAAAAAAAGGACTACTAAATAATAGCAGGTAGAAAGATGGAGTCAGCAAGAATTGTCACCAATAGAAAGATAGGGAAAGTATTGTAATTATCAGTGAAACAAGCACAACAACTTAACATCACTGCAATTCAGTTAACTGTTAAGAGTACAACCAGGATGAATCCTCCTACTAGGTCTGCAGAAGTAGAGTTTGGAGCTTTTTCTCTTTCCGCTTTTTTTGCCACAGATCAGGAGATGATAGAGGACTAAATAAAGATTTTCTCAGTTGAACCAAATAATGGCTAACATAGGCATTGCATTTCTACTGAGACAGTGGTAACTGCAGACTTAGCAGAGACCACAGAGATTAACGGAAATTCTTTTATAACCAAGTTTTCTTGATTGAACCATAACAACATAAATACATCAATAGTTAAAGCAAGTAAGGCCATCTGTTAAATCACTGTTAAATCTATCTCTGAGGAAAGAGCAACTTACTGCTGAAGTTGTAGTGTCTCTGAGCAGGTAAAAATACACAAACATTGGACCAATCAAACATCCTAAGTTACTGTGCATGTCTTACCAGAATACCCTTCCTATTACTCTTTCTGTTTTAGCCAAATTCCACTTTGAATAGATAGGTTTGTTTTCCAGCTCACATGCTCTCACTCATTCTGATGAGATGATTTGAGAGGGTTTCAGCTACAGGTTAAAACAAATGAATGTACGTGTGGTAGGTTGCTATGGTCCTGCTGTAGGCTTAATGGAGTCTGCAGATGAATTATCTCCCTAACCCTTAGGTTTCTATTCTATAAAGACCTGAATCACTCCCAAGGTGTCACCAACTAACCATGCTGACTGTATGTTGATCATGATGGAATTTTAGACATATTCCTCACATGTATGCATATACCTATAGGGGTCTTAATCTGGAACTAAATTTCAGTATAAGTGGTGAAGCAAACTTTGGCTTCCTATTTAAAACCTGTCAGACAGTTTTGCTGACATTGAATTTCTACACTGCACACACCCACACATTTCCTAACTTCAATCTGAAAATGGGGGGGGAGGGGGTGGGGAAGATACAAAAACAAGAAGAGCCTTTTTATTTTAAGGTTACAGAACCACAGAATCAGAGAATGATCAAGAATTGAAGGGACCTCTAGAGACCATCTGGTCCAACCTGCTCAAGTAGGATGACTTAGAGCAAGTCGCCCAGGACAACACCCCATTGGGTTTTGAGTACCACAAGGATGGAGACCCCCCATTCTCTCTGGGAAGCCTGTGCCAGTGTTTAACCACCCTAATGATAAAATAAAATAAAATAAAATTTTTCATATGGTTCCAGATGCATACTATGAAGTGGGCTACTTTTAATAGGAACTTCTAATGGCAACAAAATTCCTTGACCAAGCATGTATCAAACACCACAACCCTATAATTTGTGAGTTAATATTAAGAACTAAAGAATGGCACTGCAATACTAGTTTTGGCCTTTGTGATCTCAAGAATAAACTGACTGCACTTATAAATACCCTCACATCTGTGAAGACATCATCTTCACAAATCTTTATAAATCTATAAAGATAATTGAGCAAAGCACAGGAAAGACTAATGCCTAGGGAGAACAGGAAAAAGGCGGTAATAGACTAAGTACCATCTGCATATATACATCATTATTTCTTTTAAACTTTGTAGTCAATATTTTGCAAGTCTGAACTTTAATTTAATTTTCATTTTTAAGTGGAATACACACAATTTTATGCTCCTCATATTTTTACATAGAAAAGAAAGGAAAAGCAAGGCCAGGTGCCTCCCTCCCACTTTGTGTCTGTGGTCAATGAGCATAGCTATACTCATTTTAGTAAAATTCAACAGATGACAACAGCTTAAAATCTAGTTTATGTTTTTAGCTGTGTCGTTTTCCAATCATAAATACACATTTGCTTTAATTCTCTTTATATGGATAGAACCCTCTCAGAAGATGGAATGCCAGTAATTCAAAAGAAGAAAAAAACAATCATTCAGAGGGTTAATAGAGTGCCTTTAATGGCCTTATAATGTTTACTAAGGCAATTTAGATATTCAAACAGCAATACCTGTTTCGAGCACTTATCATGTTCTGCAACAACTGTTCTGGACAGCCCCAGCTATTTGCATTTTGATTGTTTAAGGCCTTTGATTCTTTCCAATCTACTTTAATTAGGTCGCAGAGAGAGGGAGAGCATAGGTGACATGGCTTCCATTCGATGTACTATTTGACAAAACCCTTACAGCAGCCAGTGAAAATCAACCTAGAAAAAGATATGCTGTTAGAAATGAAAAACACTATTGCAAAGCTGGTCTGGTGACTTTGTACAGTAAAGATGCTGTACACATTGTGATAGAAAAGGATACACCTGAAAGCAGGAGCCATATTTCTTAGCCAAAGTAACGCTAGGATACATCTTCAGCACTATTTTCACGCTCTTATGTTATTACTAACCAATCAACTATGGCCCTGTCATATACACCAAGAAAACAAGATGTTTTGCCAGCACATTTCTAATTTGATGGATCGTGACTTTTATCTCCTAGCAAGGATTCAATCCTTGCTTGTCCTTTTTTTTTATGGCTACAATTTAAGGCACTGAGCCATGGCAGTCTCTCACACTAACCTCGGTGTATTTTCTATGTCACAGATGTAGTTAAAAAATAGCAGTGGCTTTTGCAGTAATTGAGAAGTGTGGCTGAGGAGCACACAACATGACTCATGACATCCATGATGACTGAACTTTACAACATTTCTACTTGTGTTTGACTCTCAGTTTTCTTTTGACATTAAGGGTATTTAGTGACGTGTGAAAATTAGTTGCCACTTGCCAGCGTATCACCTTAAAATACTGCTACAAAAATAAACAGAATGGTAAAAGAGAGCCATTTCTATTTCCCAATCAACACCTCCTAGACTCTAACTTCCCACCCTACACTACAAGGAGGAAAGGAATACACAGAGTTCTTGGGAGCACAAGCTATCATTTTCCTAGGAGGCTGAGTAACAGAAGTGGGCCACACTGCCTTCCAAATATCATGTGGACAAACATGTAGCAACCTTCCACATTGTGCCTGTACCCCTGAAGGTGCAAATAAGTTTTGGTGAGTACATACCTAATTCCATGCTTTTCCCCAGGAGAATATGTCTGGTTTTGCTGACTGCTTGCAAGCATTCAGGTGAGGAATGAACTAATAGCACCTGTGTTGACTGCAACAGCTAAGTAACATCAGACCACATTGGAGAGAAATGAAGACAGCATTATTGCAAAAAAGCAACAGCTCCTGTACAACAACACCCCCAAAATTCATAAGTAGGAGAATATTATTCCAGTACTGCAGAATATTATCCACATCAAGGAATGTTCCATCATATCTAGAGCCCATTTCTAACACTGGATGGTCCATGACAAATGATCCACAATGGCTAAACAGAAAAAGAATTAAGCAAGCCACACAAGTGCAGAATTACTCGTCCTCTGACATACTTTTCTCAACTTTCACACTGAGCAGTTCTTGATTTCTTGAGGTAGAGCCTATAGCCTTTTATCTTTCTAACCCTTAGGAACCTATTCTATATTCTTGATTTCCACACCAGCCTATGATAAAGAGTCGCAAATACAATTCTGTAAAGCAATCACAGGAAGACCAGCTAGCAGCAGAAGTCAGCAGGTTGAAATAAAGGAGTGCCTGAGCAAGGCACATGTAACTTTTTTTGTTTTGTCTTTGCAACATTTCTAATGGACATTGTCTCTGATTCTCTTCCTCAGTTTTTCAGCCTTTAAAGTGGCACAGCCAGTGAGCTATTCTCAGACAATGAGGATTCTGGTACCTGTCATTTCACTTACACGGTGAGGGAGCGGTGTCTGTAATTGTGCCCTATATAAACATGCTATGGCTCTCCTTGGTCCTGCATATTAGGAAGCAGCAAGAGCAGGCTGTACTACGGTGAAAAGGGAGGTAGGAACTGGAACCTGAGATGAACAAAGGCAGCGGTATTGGCAAAAGCCCATTTCCACCACGATGTGTGTGGTGACTGAGCAGAACACCAGATAAGCCTGGTCTGAAGCCGAGAAATGAGTCCCCCCGTCAGAGCCTGGCATAGCTCAACTGCAGCTGCTACACTACCGTGGTGTAGCCCAGTTGGGTAGCAAGCTTAAGGACCTGAATTTTAAGTCATTCCCAAGCACAAGTAAGAAGCCTCTGCAAAGCCTTCTTCCAGCTTTTCTTCCAAAACCACCAAGACCAGCCAAGCTTCCTCAAATAGCTACTTCTTACCAGAGACCTGGCCTGGAGCACAGAAAGCTCTGGCACAGCAGTCCAGCAGCTACAAAGCTTTCCCCACTGTCACCGCTGCTCCATATATTGCAAATACTTCTGTGGAAAATACTTTACAGTCTGGATGACTGACATGACTTCCTTATTTAAGACTCTCTTCCCTGACTTGGCCATCCATTTACTCTTTAAGAAAGCTGCTGAGTGAATTCCAATTTAGATTATTTGAAATAACAAGAAGATATTAAAAGCAGTCCAAGTACAGGAAAGCACTGCTGAAAGCTGTAGCTGAACTAGCAATTTCATCTTTAAAACGGATTTATATTCCATCTTCTGAAGACTCCCATCAAAAAAAAAAAAAAAAAAAAAAAAAGCCACAACTCACAAGAACTGACATCAAGTCAACAGTATATCATCTTCTTAAGCATCACATTGATGGTACAAGTGTGTTTTCAATAATAGTTCAACCAGTGAAAAATTTTAGTGTTCATCTATTGCCATAATTCTAAATCTATCTGAAAGTTACACAAATATCTCAACACTTTTCACCACTTAGAAAAGAATCCTTGTGTGTGAAATAAGGTATGTCAAGACCACTGCATCAAAGTCAGCTTAAGAGACCGCTACAGGAAATAACGAACTCAGAACAACTACTCAGAAGACAAAACACAAGATCCAGGAACTAGCAATTTTAACTTCAGTAACTGTAAAGTAACCTCCTCTTGCTCAGTTTGTTAAACCCTAATTTTCACAAACAATCACTATTTCTTAATTACTGGGACAACTTAAGCAGCAAAGGTTTAACTGTGTAGACATCATTAATTTTCGGGGAAAAAAAAAAAAATCACTACAGACTATTTACTAGGTTCTTCTCGAGTACTGCTTCATTCTGCCTGCAAGTAGATCTTGGAAAAAGACTGACTCTAAATCATCTAGATTATTCCAAATTCATCGTTACTTCAAAAGAATTTAAGATGCAAGGTATCAAAATGGATACAGATTTAACGGACTCTTGATCTAAAACAGGGACGTTAGCTTTCATGATCTTTTTTGCAGGGGGAAGTCTTGCATACAAATTTATAAGCAATGGGAAAAGGCTCTGGGTCAGATTTTCACTTTGATTAATGCAGGTGGTAGGATAGTGTTGTTCACTGCAATCCACTTAAGAAAAGAGCATAAAAGCTTACACAGAGAACCACCTTGAACTTGACAGCCACTGGTAAGAACCAGAGATGGGCCAAAAGCTTGGAAAGAAAGAGACAAGACTGTATAGGAGAATATATAGATTTGCAAGTTGTCAATGCAAGAATCACTGTTGATTGTCTTAAGAATTAATTAATTTGGAGTGGAAAAACAAAAGGATAGAGAAGAAAGATCCAAGGGCATCTTGTGGAAACTTAGAAGGGAATGGGAGAGGAGAGAGAAAGTAGACAGATCCTTCCAAAGGACACAGTGAAGAAGAAATCAATCAGAGTTAAGAAGAGAATTGAAACAGCACATGTGAAAGCAGTATGGGATTCAAAAAAAACCTTGCCAATGGTGTTGAAGGAAACTGGCCTCTTGAGAAACCTGAAGTCAAATGCTGATCCTAAGTTGAGATTCATGTATGGGCTTTCAGAAGACTCTTAATTGAGCAACCTGAGACACAGAACTTGCTTAGTTTTAGTATAAAAGCAAACTTCATATGAGTCGGTTCATTATAATTCTTCCATAAACGTGGGAGTTTTATTCCCCCCCTTCTATAGCTGTGCAACATATGACAGTAAGGAAATTGTTCCTATTAGATCTACTCATTCCACAACAATAATACATACAGTTAATGTGAACGTGCTAAAAAAATGAATGAACTTGTACAATCCATGCAGGCAAAAAGTTAATTTTTTTAATTTGCTGTAGAATAGACTGCAGAAGCATTTAACCGATTTCCTGTAGATTCTGTTCTTTTTCTCAGTGTCTCTAGTGGCACAGGCTGTTCCATAACACCTCAGGGAGGAAAGCTGCAGAGCATGATTCTGCCTCTGCTGCCACAA